TGTCTTAATAAAATGTCTTCTTCCATGGATAAATCAAGCCACGTGCTTTCAGTCTCGCCCAAAGAATTTTTTTTTTTTACTTTTATGTTTGAATTCGAATGGCAGCTCCTTTTCGGACTCACCATCGTTTTCACCCTCGTGGTTATCATTTGACGCCATGGCGTCACCTAACACGTTATGAACACGTTTCACCCCGCTTGCAGGAGTACAATATCTATTCACGAGAAAACCAGTAAAAGTAAAAGCGCACAATGCAGCTTACCTTCGAGTTCTCCAAAAAATATCACTGCCGTTCACAGAATGACACTGCCCACTGCTTAAAAAAGGATTTCAAAGAAATTAATTTTTGATAATGTACAAGAATAATTATGGTTTCCAATAGAGTTGTCAAACTATCGATAGCACTATCGATAGTATCGATAGTTTCAATTTTTTAGACTATCAATACTCATTGATAGTTTTTTCTTATACTATCAAAAATATCGATAGTTTAGTAGGACTATCGATCATCTCTCCCAATTTTTTTTAAATTGTACATACATATGTTAATCGCAAATCCTGTTTTGTTTGTATAACTAGTGTTGTTTTTGAACTTTCTAAAAAGAGAAGTATTTTGGCTAAGCAGTTTCTTAATTTTGAATGATTATAACTTTTATAAGATAATATTTACTTCACTATGATCCTGTAAAAACGAAGCAACCTAACTGATTTAGCGATAGCGCTATCGATAGTTTTGTTTTTTTCGAGACTATCGTGAATATTGATAGTTTTTCTGAAAACTATCAAAACTATCGATGGTGTGACTATCGATAGTTTGACACCTCTAGTTTCCAAATTGCTCAGAGAAAGTTCGTCCGTCTTCTTTGCTAGCTCAACCGGAAGTGAAACGGCTAATTTTGATTGACCAAAAGTTAACTGGTTTGAATTCGTTCCATACATTGGCTTTTTCGCCGCATTGAAAGTTGGGGATATCTATCAGTATGCGGCAATGCATGCGTTGTCAATGTGGCGTCTTCTATTACAAAGCACAGAGTCAACTTCGATGCCACTCAAAAGCATCCCTCGATGCAGAAAAGAATTTCTATCTGGCGGGGCCTTTAATTATTGAATCATGGGCTCGCTTGAAATACATACATGTGGATATATCGCGCAATACACCAACTTGATCGTACCCGAATAAATAGTTAGAAATCCCACCCAACTACAAACTAGAAAGTTTAATTGATTGTTTCTGTGTTAAGACAGGGTGTATTCCAAAACGTCAAAATACAAAGCATCAGTGTCTTTTATTTCTAACAGCACTTGGAGAAAAGGTCTAATTTGCGCAACCTAGTTAAAAACTAGCATCTAACCTTGGTTGCGCACATTTGGAATTACAATCTACTGAGGTTTAGAAATAAAAGATACTGATGCTTTGTATTTTGACGTTTCGGAATGCAGCCATAATACTTACGGAAGCATATCTGTTTTGTTCTACAATCAATACTTCGTACAACCTGGCGTCGTAAGGATCAGTTTGTGGTTCTTGCTATCTTAAGGGCTATTACATAGCCTTTTAATCCAACAAAAAAAAAAATAATAATAATAATCATGATCCCATTACTAAAGATCAAGTAATCAGCCAAAAGTTATACGTCTGAACACAGTCTTACTAGGGGTCAAAAGTGATGAACTTTGATAAACTTGATAAAGCGATAAATTTATCATTTTGATAAATGAACGGTCAAACTTTGTATGGAAATCTATTTAACCAAAGTTTATCACTTTATCAAACGATTTTGGTCGATAAACGTATAAAATTTCAGCAAAATTCAACCCAGGCAGACTGTCAGGTGGCAAATTTTGCTACGAACACAAAATGCAAATTTGCACAATGGACGAGGTAAGAATAGAACGTAACTAGCTAGATAAGTTAAATAATAAACAATTTTGGGCAATTGTTTACCAAGGTGCGTTCATGAAAGAAAGCGGATAAAGTGATAAATTTAAGCAATTTATCCCTTTATCACTTTATATGAAGACCCCTATCAATTTATTTTCTCATTAGGTCTGTTCGTTGAACAACATCCGACGTAAAGCTGGATTCAACATTGCTTAAGAAAAATCGCTCCTGGTGATTCAAAAATCGCTTGCCTCAAAGTAGACAGTAGGTCAACTTTTGCAGGCGATTATCGCCTCATTTGCCTCATGTAAAAGCAGCTTAAGACTATGTTCAAACAGGCACCTAATTGGCAATTAAGAACCTTTTCACAAATTTAAGCTTTAATTGTTAGCCAATTTATCATACAAAAATTCAAATTATTTGTATTGTGTATGACTTGGAGGTATGTTTATTGAGGGTGAAAAGTCATCGTGTAAATTGGCTCTTAGCACGGATGCATAAAGGCGGAGCTCCATAGCAGCTCCATAGATTGCGTATCCGTACGTGTGTGTTTGACATTTACGCTTAGAAATCGAAATACATACAATTGTCTTACATTTTCATGCGTTGCTATGTATGTAGGTGCTGCCATAAAAATTTGTATATTCAATTTTTCTGTCAAACTGGCAAAATTTGTATATTCAATTTTTCTGTCAAAATGTAAATATCCTCCCAACAAGCAAAATAAACTTAAAGAAAGTTTTTTTTTTAAGTTTTCAATTATAAAAATTAAGCTTACAAAACGTTGATTTTTTGTTTATAAAACGCTTGAAAGTAAGCGTAATATAATCGAAAAGGAACATTGGTTATAAGCGTAGAAATATAAACTTGTAATAAATGTTCAAAAGAAAGCTTTTTATAAGCGTGAGAGTGTAAACATATAATAAAGGTTCAAAAATAGTTGTTTATAAGCGTATGAATATAAACTTACTAAAAATTTTCTAAAGAAAGCTTTTTATAAAAATTTTTATAACCCTTTATTTAAAGATATTTCATTAAAAACTCATACATAGATTGCTTAACATCTAGAAACTAAACGAAATGCGAATTTTCGGCGGACTCATCTACTGTCGCGAAAATATAAATAGGGAATAGACATTTTAGCATACATATTGACGATAACACACAAAAATTAAGCATAAAAAAGTTAATTATTACATTGTTGCGTGCTTTCAATTACATGCGGTTATTGGCAAATTGGAAAAACGACATCGATGCAGCTATATACTCAGCTTCATCGGCGCCATTCTCCTTGATGAACTTTTCTGAAAAAAATTTAATACATTTTTAATTGAATGTTAAACTAAGAAAGGATAAGGAGAACTCATCATTTGAAGACTCAATGCGGGTCCGGGATTGGATTTTTTTTTACCGCATCGGTTTTATTTAATTTTTTCTTCTAATAATATATTTTAAAAAACGTAAACACGTCACTTACGATTGAAAAAATGAAATATTTACTACTTCATGTCGTTGGCATTTGCATTTCATTTATAAGTTTAAGTTATTTATAAATATTCGCACTCAAAACTTAATAAAGGTTTATTTGAAAAAACTTTTAATAAGCTTAATATTAAAAATGCTTATTTAACGCTTATTATAGCAAACTTACTTTAAGTTATTTTTAAAAACATTTACTGAAATGCTTGTTGGGCTGCTTACGCCGAAAACTTCTAGGTATTGCAAAAGGGGGCGTCGCACCTCCCGTACAAACAGAAATTCTCATATCGCTTATCTCTGGAACTGCTTATGCTAATGTCCTGAAATTTTACACATCTATTTATGACAAGGTAATGGAATTTGATACGCCTACATCTATATTCATATAAAATGGAAGGAATCATTCAATTGGGAACCATTTTCTACCAGATTTCTAAATCGCATTGAATGATTGTTTGGTGTAACGTGCTAAACCAATCGTGTGATGTAAAAATTCTGGGCTTTGGCCCAATCTTGAAAAAACCTAGTGTGAAACCCCCGTTAGAGAAGGAAATATTTATTTTGTTGTACACCTTCGAGGTATTTTCTTAACCTTTACCGATTCTGATGAAAAGAAAGCGGAGTTTATGTAGATGTTGGTCTTCCAAGAGGGTCTCAGACCAATATAATCGAAAAACGTATTTACAGTCTGATTTAGTTACAGTCATATTAGTCAGTGAAGAACTGTTAGGCATCTCATCTATCTCCGTATAATTTCGAAAGCTACTCAAGATATTTAAGTTTTCCTATAAATTCGCCATAAACTTTGGTGGTGGACTGCAAAATCGTTATTCGCATAAAGGAGTCAATATTGGTGACAAGCAAAATTCAAAATTGAAAAAAAGATGTCGAATTTCGACAACCGGGCGATACTTGTACATATGTATACGTAATTAGCAGAGATCGAAAATAATGCTCTCCACTTTGAAAGTGTCCCACAATAACTCTTACTATTTAAGAGAAAAAATAGCCCACAAGAGAGAACAGGTGATTTATTTTTTGTAGATGTGTTCTTTCGCATAATGGGAAAGGGTAATTTGCGTATAATTTCCGTTGCTGTTGGTCTCGGATACTTATCGCTGGGAGAGAAAAAATAAGTGTTAGATTAATTTTTTGGCTCAAACCTATACAAATATTTAATTCTGCTTATACTGGTATATATGTATATATGTGACCTGGTCTACGAAAAGGGGGCTTACGTGCGAAAACTAGTTTTCTGTGAAAAAGCTGTTAAAAGTAAGCAACTCGTTTCGTCAGTTTCTCATTATCTCGTTAATTGTTCTCCGCGCCGGACGTCCAGTAAGTGTTGTTGTTGGTCCAGTAAGTGTTGTTGTTGGTCGGAATACTATTATAGTTCATCGTGTAAGTTGCTAGTGTGGAACATTTAAAAAAGTAACACTGAAGAAGTGACGTTTACTGTTTCTGTTGATTATCGTCTTCGCATTTCGCATGAAATGAAACATGAGTGTTGATGAGGAGTTCAGTGCCGTATACGGACAATATTTCCATGAAAAGGATGATGAAAACGATGATGAAAACTATGAAGAGAGCGATGATGATGAAGACGAAGTATGTGTATCTCAGGCAGAAGATGATACCGAACAAACTTTTGTTAAGATGGACCTGTATGTTGTTGATGTAAAGGAGGAGGAGCTGGTAACAAAATTTCTGTCAAAAGATTGTTGTAATAATGAATGCCATACACTGATACCACGGGAAATGATCGAGAGTACGCGGAACAATTGTTTAGAGATGTCGAAAAATGAACTTGATTTAGTGATACCAAGTCACATCGAAGCTGGAATTATGAGTAACGAAAAGCTAGAAAGTGTATACGCAAAGCTTGCTGGGCGGAAGAAATATGGACAGAGACAGGATACAGAAGTTATGAGGCATAGAATTCAATTTACCTTCTACAGAGTACCTGTTTGTCGTTCTTTTTTCCTTTTTGTACATGCCTGTACGACGAAGCGTTACGAAAATTTAGTACGTCATTTTTACGCACAGGGTGTAACAGTGCGCCAACCCGGACTGGCAAATAAACCGAGTACACATCCAAAGTCATTTAAACCGGCTGACATCGAAAAAGCTGTTAAATTCATCGAGTCTATAGCCGATTTAATGGCTCTTCCACTGCCCGGACGACTCCCAAAATTTAAGGATTTTCGGATAATGAAACTGCCATCCAGCGAGACGAAGTCCTCAATTTATCGAAAATACATTTCTTCACTCAGTGATGACGAATTGAAGATGAGTAATTGCAGTTTTCGACGGATATGGTCCAAATACATACCCCATGTTACAGTTATGAAACCAGCGGATGATCTCTGCGATGTCTGCCGTGGTAAGTAGCTCATTATTTTCTCATTTTATAGTTGTATCAAACGTTGAGATTAAATTCAGTATTTTTTCTTTTAATAGGAAACACAATATCGATTGCGCAAGCCAAAGGTGTTACTGACATTGAACGCGCACAGAAGCTTAATAAATTTCTTGATCACCTCCACAGAGCCCGAAATCAACGAGAATATTATCAAAGTTGGTGTAGAAATACTGACCCTACAGCAGTCGTTCTGTCATTTGATTTTGCCCAAACCGTTCACTACCCTGTCAGTCCACAACAACCTGGTACAGCATACTTCAAAGCAACCAAGAAGTGCGGAGTCTTCGGAATTACAGACGAAAAACAAAAAGTTAGGGTTAGAATTTCAAACTGAATCATAGGAGCTCAAATTGCTCGCCTTTACAGGATCTTACTTATATATTTTTTTTTACAGTACAATTACATGATAGACGAAAAAGATGGCGTTGGTAAAGGACCTAACTGTGTTGTGAGCATCCTGCATTATCACCTGCAAACCTACTATAAAGACATTGAAACACTCGTTCTTTTCTGTGACAATTGTGTTGGGCAGAATAAGAATAACACTGTACTATCATATCTGCAATGGTGTTTGGCTCGGGGTCTTAACAAAACTATTTTATTCAATTTTCTACTTACCGGGCACACTAAGTTCGCGCCTGATCGTTACTTCGGTATTTTCAAAAGTAAGTATGCCGTCAGTAACATAAACACGTATGCAGATTTACTGCAGTGTGTCGAGGCATCATCACCTGGAGGTTATAATAAAGCTGTATCGGCTGAAAAAGTCGTCTGGTATGAATGGGACAGCTATTTTAAACCACTGTACAAGTCAGTTGTTGGAATAACGCAATTCCATCATTTCATAATCTCTACAGATTGTGTAAAAACAAAGAAATTCGCAGACAGTGAAGAAGTGCAGTCCTTTAAGCTTCTGTTAAAACCTATCGATCCTGAAATGCCGAAAGTTATACAACCAGCCGGTTTATCTTTGGAACGTTAGTGGTTCATCTATCACAATCTTCGCAGCTTAGTTTCGGATATATCTAAAGTAGATATTGTGGCTCCATTGCCGAAAGATTTGCCATCGAAGAAACGGAAGGCAAAAACTAGTGAGGATGTTCTCAAACCAGACGAGGAACCAGGTCCATCTTCCTCAGGACCAACACGTAAAAAGATCTCAAGGAAAACGACAACAAAGAAAAATACATAAACTACTCAGCATTATTATTTTTGGCCCATAATACGTTTTTCTAGTGTATAATCATGTCTTTATAGCTTATAATTCAATTAGGGAGTTCACAAGTCGTGCTATTTGTCATATTTGCTCTTTTATACTATTTTTTTAGAACAGTTTTAAAAGTGTTGTTTTTGCTTTACAAGTAAAATTGTTGTATTACAATACAACTTTGAAAAATATGTTTACTTTGCTATTTGTGAGTGCTATTGGATCAGACATTTCTATTTATTTACATTTTTCCTTGTCTGAGTACAATAAAATATTCAAATTTTAAATAAAAAAATGGAGTCATCTCATGGCAATGGAGTAAGTTATCTTTAATTTATAACATATTTAACTTATTAAAGATCTTTTTTAATTCAGTGCAAAACTAAGCGTGTCCGGGGAAAACCAAGCATATTCAACCAAAAAGTTTCATCGATCTCTTCCAAAAATGCACCAAATAAATTTAAAAAACTCATAAATGACTTATTTGACGACTCACTTCCTTCCATCAATGCGTCCTGCGCGTACTTCTCGCAAATCGCAGCCATTAATTTGCTTTTCTCGCTTCTTCTGGGCATTATAAACTTTCTAAAGCTGTTTTAATAATTTTGATTTTGTCAAATATAATTGTTAAAATATTGTACAATAGCACACGAAAAAGTATGGGATGCTCACAAGTTTCATTTTACAACTGTTCTAAAAAAAAATAGTACAAAAGAGCAAATATGACAAATAGCACGACTTGTGAACTCCCTAAATGTATTTTGTTCATTACCAATAAATTATATTTTGTCGTATTTTTACCATTCTTTCTCTACATTTTTAGTACACTTCTAAGCAAGTTAGGATTTTCTGCTTTTCACCACGTGAAAAAGCATCTCATCTTCCATCCGAATCAACCAAAAAGTGAAAATTGATTTTTTGACACCTAAGCCCCTTTCCGTAGACCAGGGCCCAATTGCACCAATGACTTATCATTTATCACTTTACAACTTTTAGATAAGCCTTTTTATTGAAAAGTAAAGTTGATAAGTGTTGCACTTTTTACTTATCATAAAAAACTTATCAATTTAAAAAAAAATTAATAACTGGCATGTTTTTTGGATAAGTCGATTTGATAACCATTGCACAGCCAATTTCTTCAAATGCTTTTCAAATAGAGAACTTTTCCAATAATGTGCTTAGCTAAAATGATTACCGTTTCTCAATGGAAAACGAAAGCTTAGCAAACCCATGTGCGATTTGATAAACATTTTCAATTTATCTTTTTTTTCTTACTATGTCGCGCGCACAAAGCACAGCCAATATATTAGCTGTCTTAAAAATTATTAAGGAAAAAAGCAAGTCCGTATTGACTATGTATGTTTACATAAATAATTAAATTTTTCTAAATTAAGGATTATTTATTTGGATCTTTCCAAAATAACTCAGTAACAAAAACACAAAAACCACATTGCATTAATTAAATGATTTCCGTACCGGTTAACAAATCATAGTTCCATCAATGCTCCCTGCGTCTTAAGGAAATTCACCAATGTTGAAAAATTTTGTGGCAATATTTTTCGTAAATTCCCGCCAACAAATAGTTTCATCCATCAATTTGTTTATCAGGGCATTTGCCACTCGATGGATTATTGTACATACCGCTAATTTGTGAACCCCATGCATTTGACCAATTCCATGATGTTGGCTACCATTACCTAATTAGTGCAGAGTCAATAATAATTGCTGTAGCGGACTTAAGCCATTATTACACCCACTGTTATATTGTAGGTCCGCTCCAATTTTTAATAAAATTTCTTCAATTTGGCTACGAGATAGCCGAAATTTTTCTACTACATCAAAATCTATACTGTAGCTGATTTTTTCTTTTATGACACGCCTTTTATTATTTGCAGATTTTCCTCCTCTAATAAATTTAATAGTTCGAATCGAAGCATTTTTTGTGTCAATATTTTATCGAATCACGTGTTAGAGCTTAAGTTTTAGATTGTTAAGGTATAGTTGTATTATCCTTTTACAATAAATAAATAAATAAATTCATTCAGACTGAATAAATGTAACTTATCACTTGTATGATAGGTAAAATTACTTTTAGCAAAATAATGCTAAAGTTAGCAAAATGAAAGATGATAAGTGATATATACAAATTTTTGGTGCAACGAAATGCTAATAAATTTTGATAATTTGCATAACTTATCACTTATCCGCTAAAGCCTTTTCGCCAAGCATTTCAAATTTTGGTGCAACGCTTATCTATGATTTTGAGTGATATTTTACTTATCAACACTCATTTGAGTGACTTTTCCTTATCATGTTGGTAAAACACAAAACTTTGCGTAAGTTCGATAATCTGCTAAAATGCTAATGATAATTCGTTGGTGCAATAGGGCCCAGGTCACATATAGTAAAATATAATAAAATAGCTAATTTTCACTGTATCATATTATGAATGTGCCCGCTTTCTTCTGTGTCATAAATGCTCGCACATGTATGTGTATTAGACTGCATCACTCCCCATACAAAAAAAAAATCGGTACTATTTTTCCATTGGAATTATAAAATCTATTATATTTTAAGACGTCCACAAAAATATTTCGCAAAAATATTAAGATTTAAGTGAGCTGGACCGATTTGGAAATACCTCCAAAAATGGAGTTTTTTATGAATAAAAATAGTTCCTTAAAGAGTTTTTTTGAAAAAATCCCCTAAAATGACAAAACGGTTTAAGCTTAAAATATTTGCATAAAAATATTTAAAAAAAATTTTGAACGGAATCGTAATGATGAGATTTTTGATGCTGTTTTTTAACTTTTTTCACAGATTGGTATAGGAAAAATTTGAATAACTGAACCTAAACTCTTCCGATTTAGACTTAGGAGGTGTCATTGGAAAGGTATTTTCTCACCCTTTTTATTTCTTTGCTAATAAACTCATTCTGAGGATGGAAGAGAAAGGTATGAAGGAACGTCATTCAAAGTTGAATTAAGATGTGTTGGTATTCGAAAAACAAGATGGGACACGAGTGACGTTTTTTTGGCCAGAAATAAAAACAGTGAAAATACCTTTCCACTGAGATCCCATAAGTTTAAATCAGAACATTTTTGGCCCAGTTATTCAAGTTTTTCGTAAACCAATCTTTGAAAAAGGTAAAAAAACAGCATCAAAAATCTAATTTTTACGATTCCGTTGAAAAGGTTTTTAAATATTTGTATGCAAATTTTTTAAGCTTAATCTAATTTGTCATCTGAGGGGACTTTTTTCAAAAAGTTCTTTAAGAAACTATCTTTATTCATAAAAAACTTCATTTTTGGAGGTATTTTCAAATCGGTCCAGCTCGCTTAAATCGTAATAGTTTTCCGAAATATTTTGGTGGACGTCTTAAAATATAATAAATTTTGTAATCCCGGCGGAAAAACCGCAACTTTTTTTGGTGATGCAGTCTAATGTGTATTTATATGTCGTGTAAAGAAATGCCCAACGCTTTTCTTCCACTTATGTATGTCCACGTATATTTTTCTGTCTTTTAATAACCCAAAAACGAAGACACTTAAAAATAAAAATCCCTACTAAAGTGGCTTTGCGGAAGGGAAATTTAAGCAGTTGATAATAAACCCATAGCAGAAAACACAAAAAGATCATACAGAAATTTGACACGGTGACAAACACTCTTTGCTGAGAGATTTGTGGTTGTGAGAAACACAATAAAAAATAAGGGGAGAGGGTTACTTTCGATCTCTTATAGCACTGGTTTACAGCAAAAATGTTCTATGGATGCCACTATCCAATTTCTATCAGAGACGGGCAAACGAAGCTGATTTTGTGACTGTAAGCCTGCTCACATTAAAAACGGGGGATGAACGAACAGCAGCGCATAGCGTACAGGGCTTGCAAATACAGCCACCACAAGTGAACGATACTTATAACAGCTCATACTGTTACGATACTGATACTCATACGATTTTTTGAAATTGAATGGTCTTTTGTTGGATGTCAAATGGGATAACTTGTTTCACCACTCTGATGTCTCCGAGTGTTTCGAGATCTTTAGAAGTACTGTTGTAGAAATTTGCAAATGTACTGTTCCAGTATTAAAAAAAAAGCAGTACAAGGTGCCATGGCAGAATGCGGCTTTAATGAGACTACGAAATAAGAAAAACAAGTTTCTTCGTAAGTTCAAAAAAAAATTAATAATAATGTTTACTTCGGCCTGTATAAAAAATACTCCAATGAATTCGTATGTTTGGATAACTTTTGCATAGAAACTATGTCCTTAGTTTTGAAACCAACTTAAAATCAAATCCAAAAGCATTTTGGCATTTCGTTAATTCGAAAAAATCTTGTTCCAGCATTCCGTCGGCACTTTTTATGGGTGACAATGCTGCTAATACTCCCTGAATTTTTTAAGTCCAATTTCACAACAGATTCCAATAGCGATGAGAACGTTTCTTTCGATATCCAACAGTCTCTTGAATTTGGCAAATTAACACTTATTTCTGAGGATGTGCTTAGTGGCATTGCTCGGCTTAAACCCTCTTCACAAACTGACGATGATGGTTCGTCTGCACTTTTGTTTAAACAGTGTGAATCTTTAATGTATCCATTATTGGAAATTTTTAATAAATCCTTATCGTCGGGCACTTTTGTAGACAATTGGAAATTAGCGTTCATCGCTCCCATTTTTAAAAGTGGTAACAAAAACGATATCAGCAACTACAGACCCATTTCAAAGTTTTCTGCTACGTCAAAACTTTTTGAGTGCATTGTCCAAGTCAAACTTTTATCTGCTGCTAAGAATTCAATATGTCCGCAGCACCATGGCTTTATACCGGGCCGCTCAACGGTATCAAATTTAGCAGTGTTTTCAGATGACGGCATAACTGCTTTCCAATCAGCGCTTCAGGTTGACACGGTCTATACTGATTTTTCTAAGGCTTTCGATAGGGTGTCCCATAGTATCCTGTTAAAAAGACGAAAAATAAGAATATTATAAATTTTCGGAAAATGGGCGTAGCCACGCCCACTTATGGTTACATGTGTATATCTTGGTAACCGCTGCACCAATTTCTTCCAAACTTGGCACAGTTGTTGGCCTTGATACAGCATACTAAATGGCCGAAAATTTTAAAAATCGGACAATACCAACGCCCACATCCCATATAACGGTAATTTTCGGAAATACAAAAACTGCGATATTTTAGTAACTACTGACGATTATTCACTCAAAATTGATATTTACAACAATTTTCAGAGGAAAAATAAGAATATTATAAATTTTTGGAAAATGGGCGTAGCCACGCCCACTTATGGTTACATGTGTGTATCTTGATAACCGCTGCACCAATTTCTTCCAAACTTGGCACAGTTGTTGGCCTTGATACAGCATACTAAATGGCCGAAAATTTAAAAAATCGGAGAATAACCACGTCCACATCCCATATAACGGTAATTTTCGGAAATACGAAAACTGATATTTAAAATTGATACTTACAACAATTTTTAGACGAAAAATAAGAATATTATGAATTTTTGGAAAATGGGCGTAGCCACGCCCACTCATGGTTACATGTCTATATCTTGGTAACCGCTACACCAATTTCTTCCAAACTTAGCACGGTTGTTGGCCTTGGTACAGCATACTAAATGGCCGAAAATTTGAAAACTCGGACAATAACCACGCCCACATCCCATATAACGGAAATTTAGAGAAATACAAAATCTTCGATAAATCAGTAAATATTAAAGCTAACTTATTCAAAATTGATGCTCGCAACAATTCTTTACCAAGAAATACGTTTATGGTTAAATTTTGGAAAATGGGCGTGGCACCGCCCACTTATGACCACTTATATGTATATCGGTATCCGTTCTATCAATTTGTACCAAACTCGGTATTTTTGTTGTGCTTGCCACATAAAAGCAAAACGTTGAAAATTATTGAAAGCCGACTAAAATTGAGGCCGCTTTTCATATAACGGTAAATTTCAGAACTGCTTGAAACTTCAAAATTTCGAAATCTAAGGACTCTAATTTACTCAAAATTGATACGCCCCGGCTTACCATGTAGCGGTAGCTTTCGGTAAGGTGAAAAACATATATTTAATACGTGCGCCGGGTATTTAATGTTCGGCTCCGCCCGAACTTAGACTTTCTTACTTGTTTGTATTTGGAATTGTTAGTGAATTAGATTTTTTTGTTGTATCAGAAATTGTATTTGCAGGTTTGAGTAAATCTACTGAAACCGTTTTAATCATATTTCCATGTTGAATTTTGAATAGTTTGTCATTTTACAACGCTTTTATCAACTTGCAATGTTGTGTGTCCAGAAACTTTCAATGTTGTGGATCCAGAAACTTTCAATGTTGTGTGTCCGACACCATAAAACCTTTGCTTTGAAAAGTTCCTATAAAAAAGCATAGTGCATAGGGCGACATCTGTAGTGAATAGGGCGAGGTAGATGACATCTAGATGTCGCCCTATGTACTACGTTTGCTACAGCGGAAATAGACGAAACGCCATTTCTTTAAATAAAATTAATTGGTGCTCGTTTGTATGTACATACATATGTAAATGCATGTGTGTGCACCTTTCTATTAATATCGTTGAATTATTTTAATATCTATCGCAAAATTTTATACAGACAAGACAAAAAAGTAGAAAATAAATAATATAAAAAAAACTTTTTAATATACAACGCTTTTATAAATGGACTAAAAAGTAGAAAATAATATTTCTCAGTCCCATAGAATTTGTTTTGATAACTTTTGATTTTGAAATTTTAGCAAAAGTCATTATAAACAATCTATGGAATTGAAAATGAAAAGCGTGGGGCGCATGTAATAAACTTGAATTGATATGAAAAGTAATATATGTATGTATGTATGTGGGTATATGAATAACGACCGCTTAAAATTGATTTAAAAGTTCTACTTTCGCTGTAGAAATTTTAGGTCTACGTTATGTAGTTTGACTATTGTCAATTAAATCGAATGCTTTGTATTGCATGCGCCCCACGCTTTTCATTTTCAATCTCATAAATTGTTTATAATGACTTTTGCTAAAATTTCAAAATCAAAAGTTATCAAAACAAATTCTATGGGACTGAGAAATATTATTTTCTACTTTTTAGTCCATTTATAAAAGCGTTGTATATTAAAAAGTTTTTTTTATATTATTTATTTCGAAATAATTTTAAATGGTCCTTCATAAGGTGATTGCAAATTTGACTTGTGAATAACTTCAACAAAAACGTACTCACAAGTATCCAAATTTTTAGGAACAAAAGAGTATTATTATTGTGATGTACAACTTTTGATCTTACATGTGAAAAATATTTTCTTAGCTTAGAAAGAGTTTCATCGGTATTATCAACTTCATTACCCAACAAGCATTTCAGTAAATGTTTTTAAAAATAACTTAAAGTAAGTTTGCTATAATAAGCGTTAAATAAGCATTTTTAATATTAAGCTTATTAAAAGTTTTTTCAAATAAACCTTTAATAAGTTTTGAGAGCGAATGTTTATAAATAACTTAAACTTATAAATGAAATGCAAATGCCAACGACATGAAGTAGTAAATATAACATTTTTTCAATCGTAAGTGACGTGTTTACGTTTTTTAAAATATATTATTAAAAGAAAAAATTAAATAAAACCGATGCGGTAAAAAAAAAACAATCCAGAACCCGCTGCACTAATCGGTGGAGCATTCGAGTCTTCAAATGATGAGTTCTCCTTATCCTTTCTTAGTTTAACATTAAATTAAAAATGTATTAATTTTTTTTCAGAAAAGTCCATCAATGAGAATGGCGGGGATGAAGCGGAATATATAGCTGCATCGATGTCGTTTTTCCAATTTACCAATAACGCGCATGTTATTAAAAGCTGCTGCACGCAACAAGATGTAATAATTAACTTTTTTATGCTTAATTTTTGTGTGTTATCGTGAATTTGTATGCTAAAATATCTATTCCCTATTTATATTTTCGCGATTGTAGATGAGTCCGCCGAAAATTCGCATTTCGTTTAGTTTCTAGATGTTAAGCAATCTATGTATGAGTTTTTAGTGAAATATCTTTAAATAAAGAGTTATAAAAATGTTTATAAAAAGCTTTCTTTTGAAAATTTTTACTAAGTTTATATTCATACGCTTATAAACAACTTTTTTTGAACCTTTATTATAAGTTTACACTTTTACGCTTATAAAAAGCTTTCTTTTGAACATTTATAACAAGTTTATATTTCTACGCTTATAACCAATGTTCCTTTTCGATTATATTACACTTACTTTCAAGCATTTTATAAACAAAAAATCAACATTTTGTAAGCTTAATGTTTATAATTGAAATCTTAAAAAAAACTTTCTTCAAGTCTATTTTGCTTGTTGGGTATTATAACTGTTCGTAACAACTAATTCACCTGGTAATCTTAATGTTTGTCCATAAACTAATTCTGCAGAAGAGCATTTTAAATAGTCTTTAACAGAGGTACGTAATCCTAATAATATCTAAGGAAGAATTTCAGACCAGTGAGTAGAATCCTCCGAAGCACTAATAGCAGTCTTTAATGTCCTATGAAATCTTTCAATCATTCCGTTTGATTGGGAATGATATGGAGACGTATGATTTTATGTGATCCTAACAATTTAGTTAATTCTGTAAACAATTTGGATATAAATTGTGATCCTTGATCTACCGTTATATAAAGAGGAATGCCAAAACGAGGAACGTAATTTTGAACAAATGTTGTTGCTATAGAGTTTGCTGAAATATCCCTAAGTGGATATGCTTCTGGCCAACGTGTATGTCTATCAATGATAGTTAAAATGTAACGATTTTCTTTTTACACAGGTAATGGACCAACAAGATCCATATGAATATGTTCAAATCGTCCAGATGGAATGCTAATTTTTTGCGCAGGCGTCTTAGTATGTTTAGAAATTTTAGATTTTTGACAACTTATACAAGCAGAAATCCAATTATTGATTTCTCTGCGCATATTAGGCCCAAAATATTTTGACTGAATCAATCGTCTAGTTGTACGGTCACTTGGATGTGATAAAGAATGAATTTTATCAAAAATGATTTTTCTCATAGAATTGGGAACAAATGGTCTAAAAGGTTGTTGAGAAATATCACACCAAATATTAAAGTTAAGTACTGGAATATTGATTTCTTTTAAATTACTCTTGGAATTTTGGTCAGATATTATGTCATAAAGTGTTTGATCTTTTTGTTGTTCTTCGAATAATGGTTGAAAATTTATGTCTTGGGCTAAAATCATGTTAACATCTGGAATACGTGAAAGGGTATCAGCAACTATGTTTTCTTTCCAGAAATGTATTGAATGTCGTCTGTAAATTGTGCAATGTACTCTAACAAGTCTATTCTGCACGTTACCGAAGATTTTGTAACCGGAAAATTTTATTATCAAAAAATGTTACCAGTTCTTGTCACCGCGAATCTAGGAACGTTGGTAATGCAGTTAAAATATTCAGCAATTCAGCTATGAAGAATTGTGCAAATCCTGGCATTGCATATTTCACGGGGCAATAATTTGTTACCAGCTTATGAGATGGTAACAAAATTTACCGGTTACAAGAGTATACAGAATGCGAAAAGGGTTTAAAAATTTACAGGAACTTTATTTACCGGTTACAAACTTTTTATTACCAGCGCGGAATAGACCTGTAAGTGTCCAATTTGTCGAGGTGATCTGTCTGATTTTGAATTTAGAATGTTTGTTAAAGGTTTATGATCAGTATACACAGTGAATGTTCTACCTTCTAAATGTTTAAAATGTTTAATTGAATTGTATATCGCTAAAAGTTCTCTGTCAAATGTGGAGTAATTAATTTCTGTAGGGGAGCATTTTCTTGAAAAATATGCAAGTGGTTCCGAAGTGTTATTACTTATTTGTTGTAAAACCGCTCCGACTGCTACATTCGATGCATCGACAGCAA